TCCCAACCAGGTCACCAGGCACAACAGGGGCCCAATCGTCACCATCTTAAATTATCTCATCGAGGCCAACTAGGAGCCCCATGCCCTGCACGTATGGAGCAATTCTGGATCTATGGCGTTTCAGAGAGGACGAACTCACGGGTTTCGGAAATCTGTCCGACGTGTTAGAAGACATGCAGCGACAATTTCAAGTCCAGTGCTGGTCCCGTGCGGCAGTGCATTGCTGTGGAGCAGGCATGGAAGGAGGCATCGACAATCACAGCTACTGGAAATTCACTCACACTCTGCAGCGGAGCGGAGACGCAGCTTCACCGCAGATGACCTTGTTCCTGCACTCCTGGACCGAAGGCGTCCGTCGACGCCCACGCTTTGGTTAGCAGAGCCATGTCACGTCACGAGGGCGAGGCCTGCTTCCGGCTGCGCGGGCTCATCCCTCGTGCATGGACTGCTCTACCGTCCCCCACTGTCGAACCTACCTGGCAGTGTGTGGAAACCGATGGGCCCGCCCGGGCACGGTGGGTCTGACAACCCCCACCGCCGTCTTCGGGGACGCTGGCAGGGGCCCCGGCGCTCGACAACCGCGGTTGCGTCGCGTCGGCATCGCGGTCAACACCTCGTCGTCGGTCGAACCCCCCCAAGTTGGTGCGTTCATGTCGGGGCCCCGTCCTGGTCGCGGCCAGAACGTTCGTCGTGGTGAACGCTATGGATTCGACCTCGCACTCGAATTCTCTTCTGGGGCCATGGTGTACGTCACTGATAACGATGCGGTGGCCTCTAGATGGTACTACAATACATAAGTGGTGCCGTTGAGGAAACATATGGGAGTCGGGGTTCCTTGTTAGGCAGCACCGTCGAGACTCAGACCGTGACACGTGACTCATTTCTGTGACCAAGGTTGAATATCATTTGGAATCCCGCACGATTCCCCAGAAGAATGCCCCAAGGTTTTTTTTTGTTTATCCTCCCCCCAACCACAACGCCACCAAGCCCCTCCAACACTACAGTCCATCAGTGCCCAACTGCTGGAAGCCGTTGCCCATGGCTCCTCCACCGGAGAAGCACCGGCAACCATTAAATGCCCAAGCAGCTTCGCCGGGCGGAAAGGAAGTGCACAATGGCCAAACCGTCAGAGGCGTGCCAACCTATGGGCCCGAGCCTGCAAAGAGCGAGCGAACTACAAAGTTGTGTGAACACCCCTATGGCACAGACGGCCACAACAACAAAACCAGCACAACTAAAGAGCAATGGTCCCACCGACCATTAATATAAGCAGGTCGCACACAACAGCCGGCAAGCGGGGGCAGCACAGCACACAACGAAGGCACGGGCATCCCTGTATGAGTGGGGCGCCGAAACAAGACGCGAGGAAACTGGGCGAGAATCGCACACCAGATAAGATGGCAATGCTTGTGCGGATGAGCTGGCAGGGAGAGGCGGCAGTGAGAGCGAGACTCAGTGCAGGTTACCGCTCGGGAGCTTGGCAAATGGAAAAGGATGCGGTTCTTGTCAGGTGTCGGTTGCTCCGTGCGGGGCTCGAAGCTTTGAAGAAGGTCAGCGACGCTGTCGGGCAGCGCACGACTCGCCATCGCTCGGACGTCCATTACACGAGCATGTTTCGACTTCGCGCTTTTATTTTTTCGCGAGATGATCCAGGATACTCCTCGATGGTCTTCGCCGAAAGACGATGCACACGGCCGAGCGATGCGAAGACGAACTCCACCACTTCGAATTCATCCTGGGCGGGACCGACTCCTCCCCCTCCTCCCCTTCCCCCCGCCTCCTCGTCTGTGTTCCGAGCGTCGCACTCCCTCGGCGATTGCCGCAAGACGTATCCGATGTGCAGGGCAGCTGCCACAGCCGCCACGTTGCAGGAGCGGCGGAAGTCCCCTGGTTTCTCCCTCACACTGGGGGATGGTCATGATCTTCACTGTCCCGAGGGCGGCCCCTACATTTCGGTGGGGTTTGGGTGCATTCGCCTCATGACATGATCTCTCATTCAATCCTTGGAGTTTGGTGCTGCACTAGTTGCGGCTACTTCAGTAGTGAGGTCCTCAAGCAGAATCTCAAGGAGCAGTTCACACACTCAAAGTCCAGTACTCGTCAAGAGAATGACGACAGGGTTTCTCAGGAGTTGTGGCCACAGGCTCTGGCACGCGGGCAGTAGGCAGCAAGATCTGCGAGGTAGCCAGTTGGGATTCACTTCGTGATGGCGTCCGCTTCGCTCTCCTCACTCCCTGTCCTCGTCCTCCTCCTCGTCCTCTTCCTCCTCCTCCTCGTCCTCCTCGTCCTCCTCCTCGTCCTCCTCCTCGTCCTCTTCGTCCTCGTCCTCGTCCACTTCCCTGTCCTCTTCCTCCTCGTCCTCCTCCTGCCACGGCTGCTGCTGTGCCCCCCATCGTCCATGTACTCCTGCAGTCGCAGGTGTTACTGCTCCTCCTCCGCCGCTTCATCCCCAGACCTCAGACCTCCCACGTCGTGTCTGTTGCAGTACAGATCCCCCAGAAGACTCCTGGGAATCCAGTCCAAGGGTACGTCATGGGGAGCATGGGAACCCTCACCAAGCCAAAGAAGATGGGGTAACCTAGGCTTGCTTCAGGATTTTCCTCGGATACATGGCCCCGAACCAACCCTGCAACAAAAACCATCGTTCTTGGTCTGATTAAGGTTTCTGACCCCCTTAGATAAGGGCTGGGGCTCCCGATCGACCTCCCCACAGGGGCAGGTGTTTCATCCCTTGTCGCTATTGGCAACCCTGCGGCCTAGAACCAGCCCCCAGAGGCCGGACAATATCAGAATGAAAGGGCCGAACGATCATTCCATGTCCCTGGATTCGTGACACAAGTGGCGTTCCGTCAGGCGGATTCCTGCGGTTGTGCACTGTCGTCGTCCTCGCCTGTAACCCGCTCGCGACCCACCTCGCGACCCACCCCGCGACCCACCCCGCGACCCACCCCGCGACCCACCCGCGACCAACCCGCGACCCACCCGCGACCCACCCGCGCCCGCCCTCCCACTCATATCCGCAACTGCGGAATAATATGTACTAAACATACAGCCTTAACTGTTGCCGAGCCATCAGGGGGCCGTCTTGGGATCTTCTCGGGCCTCTCTGAGGCCGTCGCGGCGGCATCGTGGGCCGCCTCGGGGCTGTCTTGGGCCGTCTTGGGGCCCTCCAAGGCGCTCCTGGGGCGGGTTCCCTTGGGGCTCCTTTGGACCGTCTGGGGGCGCTCTCGGGTCGTCCTGGGTCCCTTTTGGGCTGTTTGCCCTCTTGGGGCCTGTCAGGCCCTCTGGGGAACCCCCCGAGGCCCTCTTGGGACTCTCTTGGGAACCTTTCCGGGGTCCTCGGGGGCCTCTCTTGGGCTGCCTTGGGGCGCTAGTGGTCCGTCGTGGGCCCCGCGAAAAGTTGTCAGTCAAAACGTAGGCAAGCACGAGTTCTGGCGAACTCGAACCTTACGTTTCCCCGAATTTGGTGTCCACGATATGCCAGGGCTGATGACTGATTCAACGTCTGGGGAGTTAGAGGCCTCCTAGATGGGGTCGGACCAGATGGTGTCGGAGGATTGCGCCGAATCGCCGATGCAGCGGCGATGCATCGGCGATGCATTGGCGATGCACTGGCGACGTCGGCGCCGTCGGCGTGGAGAAAATCGGGATCAAAACCGAGCCGCATCGCCGATGCATCGGCGATGCGACGCGATCATCGGACCCCGTCTAGTCCGACCCCATGTAGGATGCCGAGGGGAATTGCAACTTCACATCTCGCTGGGCCCCTGGATCCCAGTGGCCTCCAGAGTGTCGCGAAGAGATCGCGGCGGGCGCCCTGTTCACGCCTTGGGCAGCTTCCGCAGCGCCAGCCCGTCGGAAGATTGCCCGCGAGGACGCAGCGGTCCCGACGACAGGGCCCCCTCCAGAGAGCAGAAAACACACACACACACACACACTCTCACACACTCTCACACACACACACCCATACGGAGCACCCCGACAAGCGAAGCCGTTGACGCACCCAAGTCAGGAATCGAACAAGACAAGGCTGTTTAGGAAACGCCCGGGACCGTTTGGCAAGCGCCAACTATCAGGGTCGGGCCGATTTTTCCTCCCTTGACCCCCCTCTATCCTCCTCCTCCTCCTCCTCCTCTTCGTCCTCCTCCTCCTCCTCCTCCTGTTCGTCCTCCTCCTCCTCCCTCCTCCTCCCCCTCCTCCTCCTCCCCCTCCTCCTCCCCCTCCTCCTCCTCCTCCTCCTCCTCCTCCCCTCCTCCTCCTCCTCCTCCTCCTCCTCCCCTCCTCCCCATCCTCCTCCCCCTCCTCCTCCTCCTCATCCTTCCTCCTAACATGGCCACTCCGCTGGCCCACCCGGGGCCTCGGCCTGCCGGGCTTCTTCCTGGCAAGGGGCCCGGGCCCTCGCCGCTCTCCCAGGAGAGGCCAGCACGGTCCTGCAGCGCGTCTGCAGGACCGTGCAGCTCGCTCGCGCACTCGCCCTCCTCCTCCTGTTCGTCCTCCTCCTCCTCCTCCTCCTCCTCCTCCCCTCCTCCTCCCCCTCCTCCTCCTCCTCCTCCTCCTCCTCCTCCAGCTCGCGCACTCGCCACACGCGGGATCCCGGGCACCATGCGAGCCTCCAGGGGCACGCCTCCCTCGGTGCACGCCGCGGGCCCCGCTCGCGCCTCGAGCGAGCCCGAGCGCACTGGAGCCAAAGGCTCCTCCTCCTCCTCCTCCTCCTCCTCCTCCTCCTCCTCCTCCTCCTCCTCCTCCTCCCCCGGGGAGCATCAGGAGGCACCGATGCCGCTGCTCCCCGCGCCTCGCCCGGGGGTGCGGGGCGACCAGAATTTCGAGGCGGATCCCGCCCGTGGTGACGAGGGCGTCCCAGGAGGCCCACACAGGGATGATTGGAGAACGGGTAGCGGTATCGTCGGTGCCTCTGAGGAGCCAAGCCTGCACACGGGCACGCGGTCAAAACCTCGCCTCCACCGGCAGCGCGGCAAAACGGATCCCTCACTGCGCGGCTCCTGGGGATCGCCCGAGGGTAAAGGCGAACAACACGATCTGGGGGAACAGCAGGAGGAACCACCTCAGATGGAAGGCTCCCCGATCTCGAGTAAGAAAAGCTGCATGAACCTGAACTTTCGGAACTCAGACAATTCACTCCCAAAACCACTTTTGCGCTCAAGAATCTGACCTGGCTTTGTGGATGCCATGACAATGGACACTCTAACAATCCTATCATTGGATTGAAGATGTGTTTAACATGTCCGAAACATGTTCTAAACAGGTTTAAAAACGTTTTTAACATGTTGAACACATGTTTTAGACATCTGGAAAGTATTTGGCAACATGCTTCCTCTCAATTGATCGTCCTCCACAAACCTGGCCCTATCAATTTGACGGGTTGCCCGGGCCCTCGCCACGTTGGCGCACGTGCCCGCTCGTTCGTGCCTCGTGGGCGCACCGTGCGCTGCGTGGGTCTCCCGAGGTTGCGCCCGCGCCCGCTCGTGGGCGCCCCGTGCGATTCCACCACATTCGGCGGTGGACAAACCTCCCTTTAGTAAATCTCCCCCTCTTGCCGTCGCTCGGACGTCCATTTCCCGTGCCTTTTTCGATTTCGTGCGTGTTTGTTTTGCTCGATGGTCCAGGATGGTCCTCGATGGTTCTCGCCGAGAAAAAAATGCACACGTCCGAGCGATGCCAAGCCTTAGTGAAAACGGCCTGGGACCGAAACCGACGGACCTGGACCCGCAAACATGACGGCCGCGCAGCCCTCTCGCGAAGCGAAAACGGCCAATTCCTGAATCGACATGTCAGGGTAGGAGGTCTATCCACCTCCGATACATAGCTTCCACAACATATCTTACACCACATAGCGTGCACCATATAGATTGCAGCGCATGGCTCAGACCACACAGCTTGCACTTCACAGTTTGCACCACCTGGCTTACCTGCGTAGGTGTCACAGCATAGATCACACAACTTGTAATATATAACACCGAACGCACACTATATTTCACACCACGTAGCTTACAGATCAGAGTTTGCAATACATGGCTTACACAACATTAAGGAAAGGAACTCCATACACCGACGCTTTTTGTTCCGACCCTGCGCTGAAATTCGCATAGGAACGCGGATCCTGGTGTATACGGGATCCTGGTGTATACATTTTTCTTTGTTTCCCTGGGAAAACGGGGGAAACGTATACAGCACACCACCCCGACGTCGTCCCCGACCCTAAAAAATCCTGGGATTGAAAAACCACTCGCCACTGGTAATGTATATGCTCCAGTTTCCGAAACATAGCTCACACCACACAGCCTACAAAACTCGGATTATCCCAATCCGGGTCCGGATCCGGATCCGTGCGCTGTTCAGAGGAATGAACTCAGACCTACGCTCTCATGCATTGACGGGGATTGGGATCACGGATTCGGGCTATTCCAATCCAATTCCAAATCCCGAACCGGATCCGGCGCGGGACCCGTGCGCTGATCGAACGGATGAACTCAGATCTGCGCTCTCGTGGGCGGAGATTGGGACCACGGATTCGGATTATCCCAATCCAGATCCGGATCCGGAGCCGTAACCGTGCGCTGTTCAGCGGAATGAGCTCAGACCTGCGCTGTCATGGACGGGGATTGGGATCGCGGATTCGGATTATCCCAATCTGGATCTGGATCCGGATCCTGAACGCCTGGGGTCGCCATAGTCCAAACAACATCTCCACATCGCACCACTAGGCGGATCGGCTTGGCGGGACGGACGGGTCCCCTGAGACTTCCTCGCACTGTGTGAATCTGAAGCCTGAAATTTCCTAAATGTGGCGATCACATTTGTGCCGCGCGACTTCGCTTGAAAGGAGGGCGACGGCCGCGAAAAAAGATGACGAGGAGGAAGGAGAGTCGTCAGAGTGGCCACCAAGGCAATGACCGTGTCCACCAACTACGCGGGTGGGGCACCGATGGTTTTAAGAATGTGGCGTTCGTTTTGCGCCATGCTGACCGTTATTAGCGTGGCACGGATGGGCCACATGGCCTTTTCAACATGTGATTCTGGCCTTGGCGTCGCGCACAGTTGCCTTGACATGTATCCACCGTCGCGAGCATGGATGGCGGCCTCTTGTCCACCATTCGCTCTCCCCCGGGACATCCTTGGGATTTGTAGCCCGTGAAACTCACAACAACAATGACAAGGACCGGCACCGGGCGAACACCCAAGAATGCCAGGCCTTCCGGCGCATGATCACAAACACCTTAAGACAATCGCGACCGTCCAAAGAGACAGAAACGGTTGCAACGACGGAGGCCGACCCGGCTTCAGCTTGGGGCTGTCGCGTGCACTTTGCACCGAGAGGTTCCAACTTCGCTTCGTCGGGGCAGCTGGTGGGTCTTCCCGATACTCGCCACGATGCGGTCCCGTGCCGCCTCCCCGGGCGCCCCGCACTTGGAGGGCACGGCCGGACCTGGGACAGAAGAGCTTCCTGCACGAACAGGAGGCCCTCCGCTGGCCAGACGGGAGAACACTCGAGGGCACCCTCCCCCGAGCCGACCCCCATCGAGCAGAGCACGTCCAACGAGCACGAAAGTCCAACGAGCACGAAGAACACGAGGGTACCCTCCCCGAGCCGACCCCCTATCTCTTCTGCCGCCCGTGCCGCCTCGTGGGCGTCCCGAGCTGGGGGGATCTGCCGAAGCTGCCCCACGTGGCCGCCCGTGCTGCCTTGTGGGCGCCTCGTGAGCGCCCCGCGCACACGGCATAGCTTACATCACATTCCTCGCTCCCCATGGCTTCCACCTCCAACTCACACAACCTAGCTTACACGACTTCTCGGAACATCTTCCACCACACAGTTTATACCCCAGATGTTTCACCTCACCGATTCACACGACATAGCGTTCACCACATAGCTTACATCGCATAGCTTTCACCTCCACAGTACAATAACGCACTGCTTTGAGTCCACGCTGGCTATCACCATATTTTAAGACCTCGCATCTTTACATGTGCAACGTGCAATTTATTCGCAAATGGAGGGTGTTTCAGCATGGAACTCTCGCGTGACTCTGGTCTGGAATGCTAAGAACCTGTGTAGGCTTCTAACGACTGCAAGGATGGATCGAGATTTTGTTCGGAACGGGTATCCCTCTTGAAATGCAGTTCCATGCTCCCAGCAGTCTGTGGAAAGACGCGTTTGCAGTGACCTGCGAGGAGGAGGCTTGAGACGGGATTGCATCGTCAAAACATTTTGGGGTTTCGCCCTTTCCTTGTCCCTTGCCCTCTCCTCCTCCTCCCTCCACATCGCCCTCGCCTCCCTCCAAGCGCGGAGGGAGGAAGAGGAGGACGAGGAGGTGAGCCTGCCGTCCCTGTGGAACCAGGACTGGCACTCCTCAGGATGGCCCGCACCTCTCCCTTGACCACCTCCTCCTCCAGGAGGGGGGGGGGGAACGGGAAAGGGCCGAGGGGGGAGCGGAGCACGAAGTATGCACTCGAAAGCGATCGCAACGGATGGGCAACCTTGCCGAGGGCACCCTTACGAGGTCACATGCGAGCCTTGCCCCACCCTCCTCCTCCACAATTACTCAATATGAATACTACTCTCCCTCTTCCCCAGACGACGGTTTGAAAGTGTTAGCCCCCCCCCCCCCCCGCGTACTGTTTTTTACACACAGGATTCCTCGGAATTGGGTTTTCGCCTGCATCTGTTTTCCAAAATGCTGCTCTCGCTGAGGCGCCGGCCTCATTTTCGGGCCCCGCTCGTTCCGAATCGTGCTCCCGCTGCAGCGCTGGCCTCATTTCCGTGCTTCCGCTCGTTCCGAATCGTGCTCCCGCTGCAGCGCTGGCCTCATTTCCGCGCTTCCGCTCGTTCCGACTCGTGCTCCCGCTGCAGCGCTGGCGTCATCTCCCGTGCCATGCCACGGCATGCAATGCAATGCTAGGTTGATACTACGCTTTGCGGTGCTCTTCTACGCCATGCCATGCCGTGCTCTACAATGCATCGCGTACCCTTTCGGGATCATTGCCCTGCTCGACGTCCGACTGTGCGAGTAGAGAGGGGATCTACGCCATGGTAAGGGATGGGAGGGAGGGGTAGGATGTCAGATATGACGCGAGCGCACCTAGCTTGTCCTCCTCCTCCTCCTTTTCCTCCACCTCCTCCTCCTCCTCCAGGACGAGCCTTGCCCCACCTCCTCCTCCTCCTCCCTCCTCCTCCTCCTCCTCCTCCTCCTCCTCCTCCTCCTTTTCCTCCTCCTCCTCCTCCTCCTCCTCCTCCTCCTCCTCCAGGAGGAGGAGGAGGAGGAGGGATCCCTTGGCCTCAGGGGCGCATCTGCTGAAGGCCTTTGCCGCCTCTCCTGCAGGAGCTCCCTCGCCTCCCCCTGCACGGACCCTCGCTGCTCCCCTCTCGCTCCCGCTCCCCCCCCTCGCTCTCCTCCGGCTCGTTGCCCCCTCTCGCTCCCCTCTCGCTCCCCCCCTCGCTCACCTCTCGCTCCCCCTCCCCCCCCTCTCCCCTCTCCCCCTCCCCTCTCCTCCCCCTCCCCCTCCCCCCCCTCGCTGCTCCCCTCGTGCTCCCGCCCCCCCCCTCGCTCTCCTCTGGCTCGTTTTTGGGCGCCCGAACTGGGTACAGTCGGACTCGATTGGGCAGGACACGCGAGAGGACACAAGAATCTTCAGCGGTCCACACTGCCATAGGAATGTAGGAGACACGGGTCGCAAGACTCGGGACACGAGGGTACCCTTGATCTGGCAGGGTCGACCGACTAATCCGGGCCGCCTGTACGAAACAAATGGGTACAATGCCCAAGAACAATGTGATCCAAAACCAACAGCGGCCGCTGTTGGGCAGGCGGGCTTCTGTCTCGAAAGGGAGGACGTTCGCGGCGACGCCGACAGCGAGTCCTATTTTAAAACGGCAGGAGCTGTTGTCGGTCGTCGCAAACATTCCTTCCGTACCCAATCCGATCGTGCCGATCACCCCCCCTCACCACCCAGTCGTCCACCGTGGCCAGAGCTGGGGCGGCCGCTGCCAGAACCTTGCGCTTGCAGCCATGGCAGACCTTCGGGTAGAACGTGCAGGACTTCTCGGGGAGCGTCGGCTGGCCACCTCGACGGCCCTGGCCGGGCCGACCTTGGGCCCAGGGTCGGTGTAGACGCCCTCCTGCCTTGGCCAGGCACTGGCTACCCGCAGGAGTGACCCCGGGTAAGCGTGACCTTTGGTCCGAGACTTCCCCAGCAATGCAGGGCAATGGCGAACAGAAAACATTTCGATATAGGTTTTAGATAGGTTCAAAAGTAGGTTCGGGAGATAGGTTCGCAAGCATAGTAGGTCCCAGGAAGAAGGTGCAACGCGCGGGGAAAACGTGTCATCGGGCAGATAGCCTCCCGTTACTGGGTTTGCCAAAGCGCGTCGGCGCAAATGCCGCGGGCAGCTAAGTTGGCGAAGCGAATTCGCCAAACTAGCCCTGGCGAGTGCACCCGGGGACGTTCCCTGGCCGCGGTAACCTCGCCAAGAAGGTTTGCAATGAAAAACGGCGTCAGGGCTGCATTTCAGGCAGGGGCCGCGACACGTTTCGCGCGATGCACCCTCGGGCACTAAACATAGAAAATTAACGAGAGCGGCTGCGGAGAAGACCTCCGAAAACACGACCCGCCAGAAAAGCAGTCACGACGATGGGCGACCCAAAAATCAATTGGGGCAGCCCCGGCAACTGGCACGGCGAACAACGCAACTCAAGGAATCCCGGACAAGCCGGGCCGCCACCAACAATCACCCCGTACCAATACCGTGCCCCGGCGGGGTTCGGACACGCCATGGCTCCTCCTCATTATCACGGCCGCCCCGCCCAAGGTCATTCTGCCCTCCCCAAAGCCACTCGTTATCAATCACATCATGCTTCCCATCATCGCCCCCCTTGCCTCACCATCCTCCCCCTCGTCAGCCGCAGCATCCACGTTCTCATCCTCCTGCCCCCGATCCTCCCCGCCCTCCCCGCCCCCCCCTCCTCCTCCTCCTCCTCCTCCTCCCCCCCCTCCTCCTCCTCCCCCTCATATTCCCCATCTTGTTCCTACCTTTTCCCCCTCATCCCCCCTTCATCCGCCCCTCATCCTCCGCCCGATCCTCCGGGTCCTCTTGGTCCTCCTCCTCCTACTCCTCTCTCCTGTTCCTCCTTCCTCCTGGCCCTCCGTTTCCTCGACCTGGCTCTCCTCCTCCTCCTCCTCTTCTTCCTCCTCCACATCCTCCTCCCGGCTCTCCTCATCCACCTCCTCCTCCTCCTCCTCTCCCATTCCTCTTCCTCCTCCTCCTCCTCCCCCACATTCTCCTCCACCTCCTCCTCCTCCTACCTTCAATCCCTGACCTTCCATGCTTCCGAAAACAGTTTGAAGTAGGTTTGAAATAGGTTTGAAGTAGGTTTGAAGTAGGTTCGAAGTAGGTTTGAAGTAGGTTTGAAGTAGGTTTGAAGTAGGTTTGAAGTAGGTTTGAAGTAGGTTTGAAGTAGGTTTGAAACCTACTTTGAGGCCTCCGAAACCTACTTTGAGGCTCCTAAAACCTATTTTGAAGCCTCCGAAACCTACTTTGCGCTACCGAAAACCTACTTTTGGAATCCGGAAACCTTCTTTGGAACCTACTTTGCAAAAACAAATTCTGCAAACCTACTTTCCGACCTACTTTGGGGGCGCGGTTCCTTGAAACATCAGCACACGCTTGCCCGAGCCTTTCCCAGAAGTCGCCCCCGGGGGCGGCGCGCCAAAAAAGGAATCTGCGAAGTACCCCCAGAAGGTGAGCAAACCCAAAACACTTGTAGGTTGCCCCCGACAGGCGGGAGCCCCCCAAAGGGGGCGGTCTCCCCCCCCCCCCGAGGGTCGAGGATCGAGCGCGATTTCGCTGTCGGGCGACAAGCGAACGTACCGCGACAGGACAGGGCCTTTTGGCAGCCCCCCCGCTGGCGGGCAGGGGGCCGCCGCCTGGCGCCCTAGGTTCTTCAGAAACCAAACCTGATGCGGCCGCCCCCCGCCCCCCGGGGCCCCTCCGGGCCCGGCCCGACGGAGGCGCCACTCCCCTTCCGTTTCTCTTTCCTCCTCCCACCTCTCTCCACCTCCTCTCCTCTTCCACGCGCCCTCATTATTCCAGCCTCCCTCCACCTCCTCCCCCCGGAAACGCCACCTCCCCCCTACCCGCCTTCTGGAGCCCCCCACCCTCCCGTTTCTGACCTTCTTAACCTTCCTGGTCCTCCCTCTCGCCCCCCCCCCCTCCCCCTTGCTCGGGCCCGCGGCCCTCGCCCCGCCCTCCATGCCCCACTTCCCGCTGTGGTCAGACCAAGGGGGAAACGCAATGCCCCCAGATCTCAGGACGGAGGTGGTTTAGAGCGCTTCCTGTTCCAACAACCCCCAGTCTTCCCTTCGGGGATGGATGCGCCCCTCCCCCCCCCTCCTTCCGGGGCCTGCAATGGGGGGCGGCGGATCGGTGGAGCGCCCGGGACGGTCAAAGATAGAGCCGGCATGACCTCGCAGAATGCAACGCGGTCTCACAGATGGTTCAAGATAGCCCAAGATGGATCAACATTGTTTCCCGCATGCTCCAAGAAACCCAAATACCGCTCCGAGACCGCCCCAAGCGGCCGCGGAGCCACCCAATAACACCCCCGAGAAGCCGAAATCTTTCCAAATCGTACGAGACACGAATGAATTGGGCCTTTTGGTCCATGCGCTTCCGAAGACTTTGGAAGCCTGAAGATAAGCCCCGAAGGAGTCCAGAAGAACCCAAGACAGCGCACTTCACGAATTACTCGGCTGGCTTGCTAGCAGAAGCCGCGCCTTGCCGGCGGCATTCCAGCATTTCCCCGAGAAGCTTGTTTGGAAAATATCATTACTGACCCGATCCCGACAAGTTACTTTTGATATTGTGTTCCCGACAACCTTTCCTGGAAAGCTACTTTTGCACATGAATGTCGCATTCCTTTCCCCTGAAAGTTTCTCGCGGCAATCGGTTTCGCCATCCTTTCCCTTCGAGTTACCTGCGCCGACCACTGTTGCCAGGCGCGCTGCAGACCTACTTCGCCGACCTACTTCAGGAGCTACTCTAAACCTACTTCATTTGTTTTGCGCCTCAAGCAAGCCCTGCATTCAAAGGGAAGTCTCGGCCTTTGGTGCGCGGCGTTGGGGGTGCGCGTGGGGCCCAAACACAAGCGCGCAAGACGCTACTATCGTACCGCGTTCGGCGACCGGGGGACCCCGGTGGGCCCGCCCCAAAGGTCACTCTTGCGAAGGGTCGCCCTTGCGTGTATACCGAGGGAAGTCGAGTATCGGGTGCCGGAGCACGGCGAATCGACAAAACGGCAGCTCAAGGTCGGTCCCAGACCACCCCCCTGGGGTCAAAGCGCACCAGTCTGCTGAGCTGCGTCCTGCCGCAGCGCCGAGGGGACCCCCCCCCGAAGGCCAGCTACCGCTGTCTCGACTCGCCCTCCTCTGACTATACACCGCACATGGGCCCAGGATGGGTGAGGGGCCAGCTGACGCCCCCCGAACTGCGGGAGAGGGAGGGCATCCGCCGCCGCCCCCACGGCCGGCGCGGGCCCACCCCCGGCCCAGACCACGCTGGCCACGTCAGGACATGCCGGGGAGGGGGGGACTTTGGGACCTCAGGAGGCACATGCTCGGAGGTCTTCGTGGGAAGGATCAGGGAGAATTGAGCCCAACCGGGTTGGGCCGCGGATTGAGCGGGATTGAGCGGGATTGAGCTGGATTAAACGGGATCCAGCAGGATTAAGCCCGATTGCGCCGGATTCCGGACCCGGGCACAGTCAGAATTTGACCTCCCAGGAGTTGCATCCGAAGGAGGGGGCCCCCGGGCGGAGACAAAGCCCTGACATCGGCGATGCACCGCCGACAGGTCAGCGACAGCGCCCCCGACGGTGAACATCTCCAGGCTCCTGGGCGGGCGGCAGGGGCCCCGGGCCCGAAGCGCACCCCTGTGGGCCAGTGCCCCCCCCGATCTGTCGTTGCCCCCCCCTTCAGAAGAAGAGGCCCGGGTCAGAACAGCTGGGGTCGGAGGGTCGGGCCGCGTCGCCGATGCATCGGCGACGCCAGCGTGGAGAAAATCGGCCTCCTCATCGAGCCGCATTGGAGATGCATTGGCGATGCGGCGCGATCGTCCGACCCCACCTCCCCCGACGCCATCTGGGAGGCCTTAAAGAGAGCACTCCAACGGCTGCCTTTCCTCTCCCCGGGGATTCGATACCTAGGAATCTGTCCGCGGCTGGTCCTGCCGCGTGTCGGGGAAGCCAGAGGGGCCTCCTTTGGGCCGTGCGGCGGCGGAGGGCGAGGAGAGGAGGGAGGGTGGATCTTTTGACCAAGTGCACCAGAGTGTGCGGGAGGGGGGGCGACAGGAGGGGGGGGACGAGAGACAGGTGACAGGTGACGGGGGTGTTTCGACGTGCGGAGAAGGGTGAGGAGGGGTCGGGGGTCGGGCAGCAGTCAGAATTTGAGTGGCGGGGGGGAGCTAAATGGGGAAGACCACGATGTTAAGGGGTGGGTGGAGAGGGGGATGAGGACGAGGACCAGGAGGAGAGGGGGGGGAGGACGACGACCACAACGACACGTCCAGCACGCGCTAAATGTGCTGCCTCCTCAATAGTCAACCCGAGCACGACTTGCCACCAACGACAAGCGCGAACGGCGGGAGGTGCGCGTGCCGTGAAGCGAGCACCAGCGGCCCCGGTTCTACCGCACAGCGCTTCAAGGCGTCATCGGTTCGAAAAGGGAACGCCCTCCGTCCATGCATTGGGAAAGCCACAAGTTACCGATACCACTACTCCCCGGGCGTCACCCCGGGCCCCCCAAAGGGCGAGAAAACGAGGGAAGGGCAGCGGTGTGGGTGCCCTCTCCTCCTCCGAGCGTTTGGTAGCAACTGGCAGCCCCTGCGGCCGACTTGGGCCGTTGGAGGCCGCACAGGGCGAGAGCGCCATCCGGCTACAGCAACGACGAGATATCCATCACGCCAACCCATTTAGGGCGTGATTGATATGCCTTCCTCCTTCTTCTCCTTCTTCTCCT